AAATATTTTTTTTAGAAAAATTTATTATAATTTTTTAAATTATACTTTATCAAGATATTACATAATTTCTATGAATTGTTTAATATTTCTAATTCCAAATAAATTCATTTTATATAAAATTTTATTCAACTTACAAATTTTTTATAATCCGAGCTGCTCTAATCAAACTATCTTATTGAAAATCAACAAAACTAAATATTTAAATTTTGTTTTCTTTGAATTAATTATTTTTCATAATATATTATTTATTTAATAAAGTATTAGACATAAATATAGGCAAATATATCATTACTGATTAATATTTTAAAATATTTAGTTTAAAAAAATTCTTTAAAAAATTTATACTCATTAAACATATACTTCTTTATAAACATAATTTTTAACATATTTATTATCTCGTTGATTACCAAGATAAACTTTTAGACCTTGCCATGTACGAACACGTGAAAAAGCGACATAAAGTTGCCCATGATTAAAAACATCTTTACGAAGATCTAATCCTACTTTTTCAAACGTTTGTCCCTGTGATTTATTAATTGTCATTACAAATGCTAATTTTATAGGAAATTGTCTTCTTGAAAAATTAAAAGGATATACATTTTCGCAATATAACGTTATTCTATTTAAAAAAACAATTTCTCCAGCTTTATCACCTGTTAAGATCTTACACTTTAATAAATGATCTGCAAGTTCTAAAATCATTAATCTAGTACCATTACAAAGACCTTCGTTAATACGTTAAGATTTCTAATCAACATAATAACACAATTTGGTCTTAAGCGTAATTCGTAAGCTGGTAGTAATGACGGAGAAAGACTATTTAAATATTCTGGTAAGATAGTTTCACAGATATCACTTTTATCATCAGAATTAACAATACTATCTACGCTTGTATAAACTCGTTCACCAGATATATCTAATAATTCAACAACTCTTTTATTAATTTCATTAACATCAATATTTCTTGCAGAGAGTATTGCACTATTAGCTATTTTATTAAATTTTTTTTTTAATTAATTCTTCATATATATTGTTGTGCCCGGGTGATTGAGGGGCACAATAAGAGGATCCGACTCCGCGGGGGAACGGGATTACACTTGTATTTATTCAATAACTCCGACACTCTGTTACTTTTTTAAAATATAACCACTTTTATTTCACCTTAATTTCACAGACTTGATTTTGTTTAACACCTTCACCTTAACTATTAAAGACAGAATAACTTTCACGGCACGAACGTCGTGCTCGAACGTGATTATGACGGACTTAAGGACTGACCGCTCGCGGCTGATCGTTGCGCGTACTTATGGCTACGCGTTGCCGCGTCAGCGCTCAGCATTTCGGCAATTGCATTGCGCGTTCTCGGTACGTCGCGGTCAACGTCCTGATTTAT